TCGAATATCGGATAGCATTGGTAACCTATTGAAAGCCCGTTAATTTGCTGATTAGCGGGCTTTTTTGTTGTTTTCAGTCACCGGATTGAATAGGTAAGATAGGGTTATAACCGGATTTTTTAGCTACACGTTTAGCTATACGGTCCAGCGTGTAGCTAAAGCCGTATAGCTACGACCTGGCATATAGCTACCGATGAGCAAAAAAAATGGCACGAAAAACCACTCCACTAACCATCACGGAGATCAAAAATGCACGACCAGGAGAAAAAGAATACACCCTGCAGGATGGCGGAGGATTGTTTCTTCTGGTGAAGCCCTCCGGATCAAAAATCTGGCGCTTTACGTATTACCGACCAACTGACAAAAAACGAACCATCGTTAGTCTTGGTCCGCTGAATGATGTTTCTCTGTCAGAAGCCAGAGAGCGACGAAACGAATACAGGGGACTTATAGCGAAGGGAGTTGACCCACAGGACCACGAACGCCGGAAACGTGAAGCAGAGAGCCGGAAAAAGGGCAACACGTTCGAAAAAGTTGCCTCTGACTGGTACGAGATGAAAAAAGGCCAGAATCTCGCTTACAACACGATTAAGGATATCTGGCGATCCATGGAAAAATACGTATTCCCGTACATCGGAAAAACGCCAATAGATACCCTCACCGCTCGCCGCTTTGTTGAGATACTCACCCCCATTAAGGCGCGTGGCAACCTGGAAACCCTGAAACGCGTTTTACAGCGCATCAATGAGGTGATGGATTTTGCTGCCAACAGTGGTCTGATTGACATCAACACCGCCGCGAACGTCCGTAAGGCATTCCCTACCCCCACCAAAAAGCACATGCCAACCATCCGACCGGAACAGCTACCGCAGCTAATGCACGATTTATCGGTCGCCAGCATAGAACGGCAAACCAGATTGCTGATTGAGTGGCAGCTACTGACCGTAGCACGCCCCGCCGAAGCAGCCGCCACACGCTGGGAAGAAATAAACCTCGATGCCGAAACCTGGACGATTCCAGCCGGACGCATGAAGATGCGCCGTGACCATGTGATCCCCCTTTGTGGTCAGGCTATGGCTGTACTGGAAACCATGAAGCCAATCAGCGCACACAGAGAACACGTTTTTCCCAGCCTTAAAAACCCGATGCTGCCAATGAGCAGCCAGACCGCTAACGCCGCATTGCGCCGGATGGGTTACGCTGGTGTGCTGGTGTCTCACGGATTACGCGCCATATTCAGCACAGCAGCGAACGAGGAAGGATTCGAGCCGGACGTAATCGAGGCCGCGCTCGCACACGTGGACACGAACGAGGTAAGGCGGGCATATAACCGAAGTAACTACCTGGAAAAACGCGTAGTACTTATGCGCTGGTGGGGTGAATTTGTGGAAGCCGCAGCAACCGGAGTGACCATAGCCAGTGGTAAAAGGGGTATCCGTGCGGTGTAACTGTACAAAAAACCAGTACAACCAGTGCAAACCATGCTAAACCATCGTATAATCGCCTATCTCCTCAACAGACAAGGAAAAACCCGACTCATGAGAAATCGAGATTTATTGAAATGGTCTGGCACGAAAAATCATCCAATGTCTGCGGTGAAGGGCTGCAACTGGCGTTAATGGCAAATCGTGAATTCTGGTCAACATACGATCCGGAAGACAAATCAACAGCCCCCACAAAACACGAGGTAGTCAGTTTTTTGCGCTCGCGTGGTGCATCGAAAAATCTGGCTGAAAGCATCGACAAGGTGCTGAGGCCCACCAGCCTTAAATGCGGTGGGCGACCTAAGAAGTGGAAACGGTAATCACAATAGCGGCCCTTTGCGGTCGCTATTTTTTTGCAGAAAGAAAAGCGTAATCAATGAGATAAAAAACAGTGGGTACCGTTTTAAAACGGTGGGTACTGTTTTTCCCGCCCTGCCCTGTTTTACCGTATTTATCACCGGAATACGCCGGATTAACGAGGTAAAACATAGTGGAAACAATCAGAAAAATACTTACCCGTCAGGAAGTAAAAAATATTCTGCGCATCAAGGCAGACAGTTCGCTACAGGACATGATCAACGCCGGGAAATTCCCGAAAGGCTTCAAAATCGGTCTGCGTCGTGTTGGCTGGTATGAAGATGAAGTGCTGGCCTGGCTGAAAGAGCGCGAGGAAGAAGCGCGCGGAACGGCTGCGTAATGGTGTGAGGCGTAACGCGATGAACATAACAAAAAGCGCCCCGTTGCCGGAGCGCCCTTGTGAACAATTAACCTACTGCGCAAAAAATGAATCAGTGCAGTGGGATTATATCAACCGTGTAGCGAAGCGCCACAATTGCCGGA